AATCGGTTAAATCTTTGGATGATTGAGCTAGGTGATTTATAAAAGAGAGAAAACTTGGGAAATCAAAATAGTCAAATTCATTCCAGTGTTTCGGCTGTACTTTGGAAAAAAGATCGAGAGACCGTTTATAGTGAGCATCGTTGGTAGTCTCCATGAGTATGGGGATATTTGGTTGCAATTTTGACGACTTTCCACGACTAGAGCCGATTTCAAGCTTGTTAGAATATGCCCAAAGATATTTATCTTCATTGATGTCAGGAAGGAAAGAAAAAAGGAGCCTTTTATATTTGAATGGGATAACGGGAATCAAGTTCGCAATGTATGTAATCTTTTTGATCTTATCTTGTTGATTCAAAAAGCCCTTAAAAAAGATGCTATTCTCATCAAGGAGATGGTTTGCCCAGGCTTCTATCACGAGGTATTCGAGATCACGATATTTGATTTCGAGAATATTTCGCAAAATAACCAATTCAAGCTCAGTGAGTTTGAACGAAACACTCGTGTACAAGGAAACGTATTGCATAGCCCGGTCATAATATCTTAAAAAGACAAGCCAATAGACGATGGCAAGGTCGATCTCTCGATCATGGCCTTCAATGTTGAAATGATCATCCTTACATGTGGCCTTGACAAAAGTAAAGTTGTATGAACCACCCGGTGGTGGCAGAGATACTGGAATGATAATTTGAAAAGACTTTTCAACGGACACAAATAGAAATGGCAAGTTTGAGGAGACGAGGAAATTTCCTTCGATCCCAGCAGGAGGGTGAATCTTGAATTTCTCACCCTTGATAACTGCAAAATACTCGTCACTTTCCTTCTTCATAACGTAAAAGTCCTTTGCTGGGCCATTGTAACTATTGAAGAAATAAAAGGATTGAGCCTCATTTTCTAGCGTGAAAATGTGCGAATCCATTGCAAAGTTAAAAAGCACCCCACGAGTCAAAAACGCATCAAGTAGTGATTGATCTTCCAAAGAGAAAGAGCAGAACGAATTTATGTGAAAACGACGAGAATCCGAAGAAGATAACTCGCCTATGAATTTTGCCGGGTTTTTCAATTCCAGAATGTTTCCGTCAGAAACCTCTCCATACTCGAATCCGTCTCGATCAAAAAGACGCACAGTCTCATCTTGATTATTATAATTGCTTTGGAATGCAATGATAGGATCGTCAGATCCTACCATTTTGCTGTTGAATGCAACTCTGAGAGGCAGTTTTTCATGGCAAAGTTTGAAGTGATCGGAAACAAGCTTTGCCTCGATCTCATTCTCTTTGAACAAAAATGCATCTTCTTCATGTAAAAGGAAATGCATGTGGTTAAATTTGAGGATCGAGAATATTGACCCATCAGATTGGCGCTTATGTAGCGTAACCTCTACGTTATAATCGCGTTTTTCTTTGGCATTCATCATCTCCCATAAATGGTGGCTTGGGAATGGAAGCCCCGGAAGCTGTATTTGCTCCCCATTGACCAGGAAATTTCCATTCACCAAATTTTGGATTCCTTTTGCTGTTTCTGCTGCGCATCTTGATTTAGAGG